TCCAGATAGGTATACTGCTGATAGAATTCGGTGGTTGATGCACCAGTTCCAGAGTCTGATGGTTTCTTGGCAGAGTAGGGATAACCTGACCCCACCTCGTTTGTTGATTTAAAACTTGGTGGTCAGATAGTACAAATCATGATTAACAAACTGCCCTTCTATTAGATGGAGAAAGGACTCTCAGGCTTTCTGTTCAGCTCTGAGTTCTAAGAGACTGAAGTCCATTCTTTTCTCTCTTGTGACCTACAGTTCCTGTGTCATTAATTCATCTATATAGGCACCCCATCCCTGTAAGAACGTGTTTGTGAAAACAGTCCTAGTTGGTAGGCGTGCTCTGAAGGGGACCTCCTTGCATGTGTTCAGTGAGTCCTTCCTCCATTTCAACAAGGACAGGACCATGAATGGGATGACAAGCATGTCCAAGTGGTTCTTAAAGGGTATATAGACTCACTTCAAGGAGCAGTGGAGAAGACTAGCATATGGCATCACAAGCATGCAAGTGGCCATATGACTTAGAAGAGAGAGGCATGCTCTTATGCTGGTGTTTGGGTTTCTTTCTAGTTGAATTAAGGGTGGACACTTTCTTTAATTTGTCCAGAGGGAAGGTGGCCTTGGTGGACTTTATAGTCACGCCAATGAATGTAATCCTCTGAACTGGGGTTAAGGCTGATTTTCTGCATGTTGATTCTCAGGCCTAACTTCTTGAAAAGGTCAAGAGTGATGCAAATGGCTTCAGAAGTCCAAGGAGATTTCACACTAGCCAATCATCCAGGTCAGGGTATACGCTGATGTTGGCAGCATACTTCAGAAGACTCACTACTGAGAGCACCTAGTTGAAGACTTTTGGTACTGTGGAAAGTCTGAAGGGCAGTACCTAGTATGGGTAGTGATCCTGGCTCACTGTGAATCTCAGGAAGTTCCTGTGGGATGGAATGATGGAGATGTGAAAGTATGCATCTTGAAGATCAAGACATGCAAATCAGTCTCCTGATTCCAGAGTTAGGATTATCATTGCCAGAGTGATCATATGAAATTCTGACTTGCGAATGAAGGTAGTGAAGTATTTGAAGCCCAGGTCACTAGCCTCCTTTTTTTTTTTTCAAATTGAGAAAATAGTTTCTGTTAAATCCCTTCCCCCCTTAGCATAGAGGGACCTCTTCCATCGCCCCCAGGGACATGAAGACCCTTGGATGTAGTAGATCCTCATGAGAAGAGTCCCTGAAAAGGGAAAGGGAAGGGGGGCTGAGTATAGGCATCAAAGAAAACTGGATGGTGTAGCAATGTGTTATTGTGTCCATGGTCCATTGGTCAGTGGTGGTAAGGGACCAAGCATGCCTCAAGTGAAATAGTCAATTTCTGAAGGGGAGGCCTTTGATCTCTGCAGCTGATGGTGGTAGAACACGTCTTTTGACCATCCCATCAAAACAAATGTTTCTGGGAGTGGGAAGACTGGGTGGTTTGTAATAAAGTCAAGGGTTGTCTCCTTTTATGGAAATGCTGATGTTTCCTGGGTGGTTCTGCCAACCTTTGGTGGTAGAAAGGCAGTGCAATTGGTCTCTTGAAGTTTAAAGTTGTTTTATGTGTTTCCTCTTAGGAGCTGGCGTGTAGACTCCAAGGGAATGAATGGCTCTTGAATTCTTCAACATATAGAGTATCTCGTCTATTTTAGAGCTGAACAATTCAAATCCTTCAAAGTGCAGATTCTCCACCATTGTTCGGTCTTCTTTGAGGAATCCTGATTCTTGAAGCTGTGATGCTTATCACATAAAAGACAGCCATTGTCATTGATCTGGCAGCCATATCTACAGCCTCCAGCACTCTTGGAGGCTTGCCCTGGCTATGAGTTGGCCTTCATTAATTAGGGAAGTGAAATCCTCATGAGCCTTTTTGGGCAGATTACCTGCAAAGGCAAGCTGCCTCATGTATACAGAAGTCATATCCAGCTAATATGGGATGAATATTGGCCACACGGAACTGTAGGCTTTCTAGAGTAAGCCTTCCAGCCAAATCTAGCCTCTTTGGCTCTCTTTCTTTGGGGGTGGACCTGAATTGTTTTGCCTTTTTGTTTGCAGCACTGACCACAAGGGTGTTTGGGGTAGGGTGGGTAGAATTCCACATCCTTAGGAGGCACCTGATATTTTCTGTCTGCCTTGGAGGAAGTAGGAAGCACCAAAGCAGGTGTCTGCCACAGTCTTAGCAGGGTCTATGATACCCCTTCCTGTCAATAAGACTATCTTTCCCACGGAGGAGGCTTGAAGTATGTCTACCATTTGTATGTCTGTTGTGGTACCTCTTCAATAGGGATTTGGAGGGCCTCAGCCATCCTTTTCAGTAGTTTTTGAAATCCCTTATAGTTGCCCATCTGTGGGGCCATCAGCCCCACAGCAACCTCTTTGTCCTCTGCTTGAAGCTGTGTCAGAACCAGAAAGGGTTATTGGGATGTTCGTATGTGCGGTGCTGTGGAGGAGACAGTTTTCTGCTTCCTCAGACCACAATTGCTCTGAGCCGACCATGGTCCCCAACAAGGGCACCATGGGCAGTGGTGAGTAAGAGTCTGGTAGCAAGGGATTAGAGAACCATTAACTTGGGTTCGGTGGATCCCAATATCATTCTTATAGGGAGTTCTGATACTCCTCACAAGATGTAAAGGGCTGTGGTGAGAAGCTGGGTGAGTCAAGATATTGCTGGTACAGATATTCCTTGACCACCAATTCCGAAGATCAAGCTGAGGAGAATGTGCAGGCTGGATTCATAGGCAATGCAGTGGACCCATGGTGCTGCAGTGGATAGGGTAGGTGCCGAATGAAGTGCTGACAGCAGGGGAGGATTGGGGTTCTACAGAGCCATTGGTGCTAAGAATCTGAATGGTGCCAGGTGAGGTGGCGTAGACAGGTGACCTGGAACCAGATTTTCCCACAGCGGTGTTGCAGTTTCCACTAGTCATGGTATGGTGCCCTGATCATCCTGGTTCTGGTGCCAAGAGTCTGTGCCACGGCCACTGAGAAAGATAACATTGGGGTTTCATGGCAAACTTTTCCCCAAAGTCCTGGATTTCGGTACTGGGCATTACAATACCGTATGGTCAGACTCAGCTCAGGATCGAGCTTCTATAGGAACCATTCCAGACTGTGGAGTCTCAGATAATTATTGGTATCATGGGAAGCTTTCTTTAGACGAAACCATGGTAGGCAATCTACCTCTGGGACTTCTGGCTCCCTGCTGTCCGTCTGAGGACAATGTTGTTGTGCTAGTCAAACAATAAGCCTGCACTTATGATCTGGGGCTCTGAAGGTTCCCATGCGGAGGGTTGGGGGGTGTCGAATAAGCCTGGTTTGAAAGCGTATATCATGGACTTACTCATTAGGAAGACCTGAAGGCGGGCCTTCCTGTTCTTCCTAGCCCGACAGCTTAAGGTCTCACAAAGGGCATATTTACTGGGACTGTGCGATTCTCCCAGACATGGGCACAACAAGTATCCATCAGAGGCTGGGATAGCTCCCTTGCACGAGAGGCAGCATTTGAATTCGGGAGAACTGGATGACACCATACTGGCGACGAATAAGATTCTAACAACTAAAAAGGGACGCAACAGTCAACCTAATGATTAAAACAGTAACACTATAAACGCTATGAGCTATAAATAATAAGAGAGAGGCTGGCCATCTTGGAGAGTCAGGCTCCATCTCTAAGCCATGAGTTGGTGAGAAGAACTGAATAGTGTTCCTCGACCTTTAAGTGGAACATGAGGATTGAAGAGTTCATGTACATCCTAAGGGTACTGTGGGCCAAAAGACTCTGATCTCTGACCATCAGAGGAATGTGCATATGGATGATCAGTAGCTTTTAAGGTTTTTTACAGAGGGGTTGTTTAATTGAAGAGGGTCAGATGGCCATTTAGAAAAATCTCAGCTCAATTAACTCCAATTTAAGAACAAACAAGGAGAAGTACCGATTTCAGAGTTAAATAGAAATATTTCTGGATAAAACTATTTTAGAAATAGCCTTTTTAAAAGCGCTCCTTCCTGTGACACAGGGTTGCAGGTTTGCTTTGCAGCTATCAGGCAACATAATGGTGCATCATATTGCCTGAGAGCTGCAAAGCAAACCTGCAACCCTGTGTCACAGGAAGGAGCGTTTTTAAAAAGGCTATTTCTAAAATAGTTTTATCCAGAAATTTCACACCCTAAGATATTTAAACTGAAAACATGTTTTTCTCACTTTTTGTGGAACAAAGTACTTGTATTGCAGCCATTGTCTCATCAGCAAAGAGGTAGCATTATGGTTTTAGGTACTGTATTTTATTACATTATCTTGGCCATAAGGTATAAAATACTCAAATAGTTCTTACTGTACTATGCTAGCACCTAGGTTGTTCATTAATAATTCTGAGTGAAAGGTTTAACACTAATTACTTACTGGTTATTCCATTCACACTATTAACAAATCTTTTTTGCAACGTTGATAATAGATATGTTAAAAGGAACCCAGTGAATAAGCTAAATGGGAAAGCAAATATTGGACTTATTTAGATATTGCTAGGCACTGTCATTAATGTTCAGTTTAAGTGTTTTTTAAACTACATTTTTGGACAAAAGTTATAGATGACACTAATCAGTTAAAAGGTACTTCTCATGCCAGACCATATGGTAAAACCAGTGACTATTTAAAAGCTGTACATTACCATCCTGGTAATTAAAAAAAAATCCCGTCCCACTACAGTAGAACGTCAGAGTTACGAACACCAGAGTTACAAATTGATCGGTCAACCACACACCTCATTTGGAACCGGAAGTATGCAATCAAGCAGCAGCAGAGACAAAAAGCCCCCAAAAAACAAAAAAGAAATCCCAATACTGTACAGTACTGTGTTAAATGTAAACTAGCAAAACAAAGGAAGAGTTAAAAAAAAAAAGATTTGACAAGGTAAGGAAACTGTTTCTGTGCTTGTTTCATTTAAATTAGGACGGTTAAAAGCAGCATTTTTCTTCTGCATAGTAAAGTTTCAAAGTTGTATTAAGTCAATGTTCAGTTGTAAACTTTTGAAAGAACAGTAATGTATTGTTCAGAGTTATGAACAACCTCCATTCCCTAGGTGTTCATAACTCTGAGGTTCTACTGTATATTCAAGAGTTCCATGGTAATTAGGCTTAATTTGCCATTTAAAAGAAATGCCATGATGCTGACATGAACCCCCATTTGGAACATTGTTACAAAATTGAATGAACCCCCCCCCCACGGCAATTAAAAAAACCCACATGAACGAATTATGGCAGTAACTTTCTGAATTACAAAATGCCTCAGTGGATCAGTGATTTTGCCACAAAACATGTCCATATTTCTATCACCACATCATGGTCCTCTTCTGTTCGGCTTCTTTCAATTACCCGTTGTATCTGATCTTTAACTAAGATTGCAAACTCTGAGGCAGAGACTGTCTTCTTCTATATCCTGTCTAGCCCAGTGGGGCCCTGACTTGAGGCCTGTAGTTGCTACTGTAATACAACTGAGAATGTCATGCATGCTTTTCTTATAAGGCATGTTGTGGAAAATGTGCGTTCTATACTGTATTTGATACCCAATAAATGTTAAAAAGTGTCTATTTTAAACACAATGGATATAAAATACAGTTCTTTACATCAGCATAGACAAGACAAACCCTTGTGGTAGGGGTTATCACTGTTGCTCAGCCCCTAAACTTTAGACTCCATTATTCAGAGGGCTGTGGAATTAAAACCAAATCAGCTAAGAAATAGAATTAAGGATTGAAATCTTGCAGTCCAAACTCAAACAAAAGTCCCATTAACTTTACAGGCTAGGGAGCCAAGAACACTTTAGTTCTAAACCCAGATCTAACACGGTCATCTCCTTTGATACCCACTGCAATGCATGGGATATTTTACCTTAACAGAGTTGGTAAGACAACTCCTACCTGTTCATGCTCTCTGTATGTGTGTGTGTATGTATATATCTCCTCAATATATGTTCCATTCTATATGCTTCCGAAGAAGTGGGCTGTAGCCCATGAAAGCTTATGCTCTAATAAATTTGTTAGTCTCTAAGGTGCCACAAGTACTCCTGTTCTTTTTATAGATGAAGTAAGAACTGCAGAATTGGACACTAGGTGGCAAGTAACAAAGTTTGGCATTTCCAGTACTCTGTTACACACACCTCAATACCATGCCATCTCAGGATGGAATCTGGCCATCTCTGTTTCTAGTGTCTATGCAATTCAGTGTTTCATCGCTGTAAGCACACGCCTATTGTTTAAATGGTCTCAGCTTCAACTGCTGCTTCTGGTAATCCATTCTGCATGCTAATTACCTGATGGATTTCCCTTTTCCATAATTCGTAGTAAAGTGGTTTTATAAATATTCAAACTCTAGATGGTGCCTTTTGTGATACGAGGTTAACTGGACTGTATGTAAACAGTCTGCAAACTGGTTTATCCTCTCTGGTGAACTGGTAGGACCCCAAACCCAGTCCATTCATTGAGAAAGGCAGTGTCCTGTGTTCAGTGCGGCTTGTATTGGAGGTGGGGATAGAGGGCAGTGGTCCTGTGCTACAACCGTCAAAAGAGGAGCGTGCAGGAGCAATCAGCATGAAGAATCTATAAGTCTTTGACGAACCTTATCCTCGTTGCTTGCGCTTGTATTGCAACTTGGGAGCAGATCTGTTAAAACTAAACAAAAGCAAATGCTCGTTACAATGAAATTCCATCACACCATTTTGTCACAAGCGAATATTCCTGCTTTCCTTACAACAAAATAGCAGCCGTGGAGATTTAAAAAACCCAAACCTGCAACCTATTTTCACCTTTGATTTGTACTATAGCTAGGCTAGTGTGTGGCTTTATACAGGAACATACACAAAGGGCACCCTCTTAGTGGCACTACCTGTCCAACGCTGAGCCTGAGGAGCACCTTACAGCTTCCTTTTGGAAATGCAGAACCCAGAGCTAGTGTAGAACCACGAGCTGGTGCACAGGGTTCTGGAGCCAGGCATATCTCCACTTCTGGTGTGGCCAGTAATGCTATGATTCTGGCTGTTCCAGTCCTCTGAGGTGTGCCAAAGTGGGAAAGAAATCTTCTTGGTGCCTTTCTTGTTCTTGTGCAAAAGAGCTAGAACCTATATCTACGTTTGTAAAATCTTTTATTAAATCATGCTAATATCACTAGAGGCAGGCGAAAATGTGGGGGCAGTTAAATGCAACCCTTAGTCCTCTTGGTCCCTTTCTCGTAGTCGAAGAACGATGTCGCTCGGCTCACACCTCCTGGTACTGTTGGTGGCCAGTGATGTGTTCAACGTAGATGTCCCTGGACCATCGGATGGTGTCTGAGACCATGAGGCGCCGCATGAGCCGTGCATAGCGTTGACCGATCCCGCAGGTCTGCAGCACACGCGCGTTGCAGGGGTCCCAGGTGCCCAGGGCTCCGATGATCAGGGCGTCCATCTGCATCTCATAGCCCTTCACTCTCAGGGTGTCGGCCAGGGGCACGTACTTTTCCAGCTTATGAGCTCGGGCTTCACGAAACGCCGGGGTCCTGTTCTCAAAGGAGACCATGATGTCGACAAGGATGATCTTTTTCTGGGCCTCGTCGGTGACGACGATGTCAGGTCGTAGCTGGCTGTCGGTACCGGGGATGGTGGGGAGGGAGTGACTTAGAATACTACATCATGAACATTTCTCTTAAGCTGATGCTTCCTCCATTATATTAGGCAGAAGAGACAGTATCATTACTGTGCTGAAAAATAATTTAAATATCCCCTACCTTGGAAACTGTTCTTTGACTTAATCTGCATCTGCAGTTTCCTCCTATCTGAGCTAAATATGGTCAGAGTTCCCAGCCATTCCCACCTCTGCATAGAGAGGCTATATCTCTTTCTCCATGTACAACGTGACTGGCAATTTCCTTCAAAGAGATTTGGAATCACAATGAACACCATAAGTGGAAAGAGCATTATCTGAAGCCAGGTTATGTTTCTGTAGAAAGAGCAGGATCCAAGTGAATGCACTTACATATAAAATATGCTGCCCTCATTACCATTGTATCTGAACATTTATTCTCATATTACCATGATTGCTCAATAGAATTAACCATGTCTGGGCAGGGGATGAACTATTATGGGTTAAGTGCTCTATTCTGGATTCTGACTCACCCTATGATCTTGGTGAAATCACTTAGGGCCAAATTTTCCCCTCTCTTCTGTGACCAATTAAGGCCCCACTGCAGTGGAACTGGAGTGATCCCTCTGCCATGAAGGAGTTGTAGACATAGGTGCTGGAACTAGGGATGTGGTGGTGGTGGTGGTGGGGATGCTGCCACACCCCCTGGCTTGAAGTGGTTTCCATGATATACAAGGTTTACAGTTTGGTTCATCGACTCTCAGCACCCCCATTATACAAATTGTTCCAGCTTGTAGATTGCAAACCCAGAAGTGACTGCTGTGATCATCTAGTCTGACCACCTATTTAACTCAGGCCATAGAACTTCCCTGAATTAATTCCTGTTTAAACTAGAGTATATCCTTTAGAAACATATCCAATTGTGATTTAAAAACTGCCAGTCATACGACTCTTGGTAAATTGTTCCAACTACCTTCTCTGTTAAAAATGTGTGTCTTATTTCCTGTGTGAGGCCATGCGTACACTACAGGGCCTTCGGCAGCATAGCTATGCCTGCGGAGCCCCCTAGTGTAGTTGCAGTATATAGCAACAGAAGGAGGAGATCTGATGGTACAGGAATACCACCTCCTCCAATGATGTTAGCTATGCTGACAGAATCCCTCTAGCTGTATCTACACTGGGGGATTTATCAGCATACCTATGTTAGAAATGTTTTTTTTCATATCCCTGGCTGTCATAACCACGCTGCTATAAGTTTTAACTGTAGATCTTCGGGATCCATTGGTGCAGAGCACTACCCTTAAGGGGCTCCCTCCATCCCAGAACAGGGGAGGTTTGGACAGGGAGCATGAGCGAAGTGTAGCCGGCTTGGTGGCTTATACATAAACAGTTTCCCTTGCCACAAAGAGCAGACAGCCAGCAATAACAGGGGCTCTGCTGCTACCCTGCCATTAAAAGGAGTCCCTTCCCCAATACCACCCCCATCGGATCTCGTGTGTGTGTGAGAGAGAGAGAGAAGGGGGAGGATTAACTTCTATGCACCTCTGTCCCTCTAGCCTGAAGACTACCAGCCTTTCATGCTGTTCTTTAAAACAAAATCATGACACCACTAACTTCCCCATCTTATCTTAGTTCTATCTCTCAATGCAAACACATTGTACAATGACTGTACACTTTACTACTTTGTGATTGATCCAAAGGACTAAGAACTCAATACCCAACTGCTGCTACCACCACTTCTGCTAGGCTTAAAGCTGATGAGAGATGAAGTCAGGAAGGGCTAACACAGATCTAAGAGCCATTTCTGGCTCTAGCCCTCTGCCACAGGTTAGACCCATACCCACAAACCATGCAGGAGAGCTAAGACACATGAGTTCCTTAGTTTTTCCTTACCATCAGTTCAAATTACCCAAGCAATATTATTGCACAAACACCATATTAATTGGAAGTGACGTTTCTCAAAACCAAGTGCCTAAGCTGTAGATGGAAAATTTGCATCTCTGCTTATATATTTTGCAGGCACAGTTTAGGCATCTATCTTTGAAAATCTGGTCCATTATGACAAACAAATAAAAATACTACAATAGCTTTCAATAACATAACCCTCCTGAGGGGTTAACTGAAGTTATAAGAATCATATAAGCAGACTGTATTATTAGGTATAAGCTAGTCAATTTTCTTATACAGCACATTTAAGTCTTTGCATACAAGAATTCTAAGGCTTCTATTTGTTTAGATACAGAATTTCATAATATAAGAAACAATTTTTCTTCCTATTCAGGCCTATGTTAATGGATACACCATTTAAACACAACAAGCTCAACTTTACCTTGTAGTTCTGTTGTAGTCCTTTCTGGTTCTTCTGTAATTTTCTCGTCAGGCTTCTCTTTCACAGTTGCTGGCTTCCCATCTACCGTATCTGTCGTCTTAATCGTACCAAGGTTTGGCAACAGATGGATTATCTCACACTTCCCAGGGCCTGCAATATTCTCCAGCACTTTGAGGCACTTGTATGATTTAAGCTCACTTACGTTTTCCTCAAGGAAGAGGAGGTAGAGGCTTAAATCATCATAATTTGACTTGAGTTTCAGAACATCAAATGTTGGCAGAATTTCATATACTCTAAGAATGTCTGAGCTTCGCCTGCATGGGATGAGCATGGCATACATTACAAGAGGCATCACCAAAAGATACACAAATAAGTTAATGTAACTGAGTAGCTGGAAGACGCCAACAGCAATAAGCTTACATTGAACTAGTTCTGGAACTGTTGTGTCATTCTTTAAGATTCCAGTTTTGATGGTGCACAAAAACTCATCAGTCATAGAGGAGAGATTGATATAATAGCCCAGATAGAGGCATGCAAACAGGATAATTGCTAATGTTAGTAAACGGCAAATAACATATTTGATTATTAAGTTTTTGGAGTTTCTTTTTGTCTTCAGGTATTGTTCCACAATGGGGTATTTAAAGTGGCTTTCAGATATCTCCCACAAACTGGAAAAAGAAAAAGAAAAAACAAACAGACCAATCATTGCAGGAATCATTTTGTCATATTAAATAAGCTGAACATTTTGACACACACAAACAAAAGGCCTGATTCTGATCTCACTGACACTGTTGTAAATCAGGAGTTACTCTACTGAAATCAATGAAGTAACACTTGTGCAAAACAGATGTGAGGGCAATCTCAAGACCAGAATTCTGGTACATTCTTTAGTACTGAATATAACTGTTTACAAGACAAGTATGAGGGTCAACAGGAAAAATGCCCAAGCCTCGGACAGAATAAGTAAAATACTAATAAGAAATTTTTAAATGCAACTCAAGCACTGATACTCAAATCCAACCTAAGAGGAAAAGCAGACACAGCTGCAACATGTCTTACATTAAGATGAGAATGGCATTTTACCTGCCAGGACCTAACTTCAGAGATCCATGCCAACTCACTATTAAAGAAACAATTTTCAATTCTTATTTGTAATTTTTATTTCTTCTGAAGAAAGAGAAGAGGAGAAATTGCTGCACTGTCTAGGGTAGCTGTGAAACTGAGGTTGGCTAGAACAGTGCAGCAACTAATCCAAGAGAGGGAGCCTGGAAAAGACAAATATTTTAAAAAGGAAAAAAAAAGAAAAAGGAGTCTTTGCAGAGACAATTCTGAGAACAACAGAGTGGCAGGGGAGCTCATTAATGGCCTTCCACATCAAAGGATGTGAAAAATAACTGTACTGGTAGGTAAGGAATACAGCCACCTGCACTTCCTAATGCTGTTTTAGGCAATACTGACATCCATTGTAGCAAAGGAAACACAGAGCCACCTTAGGCCGGGGCTGGTCTACAAAGGGAGAGGAAGACAACCTGATTTACAAGTATTTTGTTTGAAAAAAGTAGTTATTTGTAAGTTCTAACTCCACACACACATTTTATTATCGATTTGGGATCTTACATTTTTAATCACAGTTCTAAAAAAACAACACGTCAGCTCATCTTTAAAATGGCTGGTATAAATTTACAGTAAGTGTCTGTGATTTACAAGTGTTCCAAACATATTATACTTATTAAAGGCTAAAAGAAATAAAGACCAAAAATACCAAGCTACAGCACCTTACCTTTGTGTCAAGTTTTCATTAACAGCTGGAGGCAGGCTACTGGGGTCTCTAGTGTCTCCACTGTGAAAGCTATTAGCTGCTTTGATTGCCCTGTTGTAGGCCTTGTCAAGTTCTTCCATAATAAATTTCAGATCTGAGCAAAGATGGGGTGCTGCAGTGAAGCGCCAGAACAAGCATGGTAGATACAACAGGATAGCAACTAGTAGCAGGATATATGGGAAAAACTGGAAGAGAAAAATAGCATTAAAAATTGTTAGATTAGACTCAATCTGTAACAAAACAAGTCAAATAAGAATATTTTCTTGGGCAAGGCACTCTGCTTTATAAAAACCCATTTTCACACTAACCAGGGTGAGTAGGAAACTTTCTTGGTGGGTTGGGAGAAGGGGGAAGCCAAAAATTGATGCAGAATTTAAGCTTTTGTTCTTTTTTAAAGAAAGAAAAAGAAACTAAACCAGGAAATAGTCCCATAGGTACAAAGAAAAGCTCCCATTAAGAACTAATGCAGAGCCATCTTCTTGAGTGTGCAGACAGACAGATCCACTGCCTCTGCTGCTGCTCAGTTTTTGCCAAACAGAAGCAGAGTGAATGTAACCAAAATTCTGGACCACATTTTCACCACAGCTATTCAGAACTGTGTGGGCAAGTGTGAAACTGACAAGAACAATGTCATTTGATGTGGACACAGTGGCAAAATGAGGACAGACACATGCATGGAATTAAGCAGCTTGCCGCACCTTTTATTAAACTTTAACACAAGGGAGGGGAGCTACCTGCCCATCACCCATACTCTCCTATACCAGGCATTTAATTTGATCCAGTGCAGGGGTTACAGGGCTCCTACCATATACCCTGTAACTTGATGTAGGCTCTCCTCAGCCTATTCCCCCAACCCCCAGGGCTCAGTTCTCTGAGTCCTAGCACCCTTCCCCATGGCGAGGGGGACAGAGAGGGTAGAGAGGGTCGGGGACCTCGGCCCTGGGAGCAACAAAGTCTCACCCTATCCCATGAGCCCAAGGGCCATCACCAAAATCCCAGGACTTTTACCTCGGCGAACAGTTCACTTTATTTTTTGACTGCACTGGAAACAGGCTGCAAGTTGTGAGGAATTAATAACTCAACCGAAGAACCTCAGATAAGTACTAAGCACCTTCCTACTTAACCCACTGTGGGTTGAAGGTGCTGTGAGGAAGGCGAAAAACTCCCTGATCCTCAGTCAATTGGCCCCCAGGAGAAAAAAATTCCTTCCTGACCCCCAAATTGGAGATCAGCGAGACCTGCAGCACCTGCCAGGCCGGGTTCCCATTCCTAATTCAGGATGGGTAGGGTAGGCTGCTGGAACGGAGCAGAAGAGGATCCACATGGCCCCAGTTCTAGGTTGAATCCGAGGAGCTGGGAAATGTAGACCCCACCTTGGAGTTGGTCAATTGCAGGGCTCTACATATTGGTCTCTTGGTAGTAATTGTCTTATAAAGCTTTAAAACCTGGTTAAGTGTTACTACTTTCTTCCTATACAATGATGGTTATAGAACACATGTATTGTAAGCTTATAACACTATCCATGCCAGTATAGCCTACTCAATGCATGCTCTTATCAAATGTAAATAAATCACATAATAATGGCAATACATTCTCAAGGTTGTTTGTAGTATTGCTGTAGCTGCATTGGTCCCAGGATGAGAGAAAGACAAGTTGAGGGAGGTAATGTCTTTTATTGGACCAACTTCTGTTGGTGGAGGGGACAAGCTTTTGAGCTTCACAGAGCTCTTCTTTGGGTCTTCTCGTCCCTTCCACCAATCTCACCCACTTTGTCCCTCTCAATATATTCTCAAGACACATTTATGTTAAATGCGTAATGTATAAAACAGCTATAATATCTGAAAATCCTTTCAGATGCATATATTGTCTAATTCTACCAAACATAACTATCCATCTTATTCATCCATGAACTTCTAAATTACCATATCTTTAACTTTTAGTACAAAGCATATTCTAATGAACTCCAGGCTCAGAACCCAGGGAATTGTAATTATAGTCATGATGACTAAAATTCATTTGGTTTTAAATTACAAATATTTTTTTTCCTCAACACATACATTTGAAAGTCCATGAAGAGATCATCAGCTGGTGCAAATGGACGATGTGGTTCTACTGAAGTCAACGGATCTACACAGATTTCACCAGCTGAGGATCTGGCCCAGTCAGTTGGTCACTGTGGCTAATAGCCCTCTCTTGCATTTTCAGCAAGGATAAAGATGTTACCTGAATCTGCTTTGTCTGTATATATAAAACAAATGACCTGATCCACATACGCCTATGGAGGAAAGCTGCTTCCAACATCTAAGACAACTGTGACAAAATCCTGTGAATTGTCTCTACTCTTACTCACTCTCTTCGCACACCTTTATACATATACCCTAGGGAACAATGTCTCTCAACAGCCGGAGATGATACACACTCTGACTACAATTAACATGCCAATCAGGAAACTTGCTGTGTTCTAAAACGGTAACAGCCACATCAAAAATTTGCAAGCATTAGTCATAGTAAATAACAAATTTGTGAAGCCTTAATTGGTGATAAAAACCTGAAATTGCTGTGCTAAGTGTGGCCTGGGAAGCTTAACTACTTCAACTTCTATTGCTTGCCACTACTTCTATTACTTGATCCCATCACAATTATAGGTGGGCAAAGACACTGGTTCAGTTTTCCATGTCCTCAAGAAAAATACTGCCATAATGCACACATTTTATAATTGGAACAGATGGGGCATGGTGCAAGGGGCACTAGCCCAGAAACAAATTAGTTTTCAAAAACTCATCATGATTATGAAGTGAGGAAGACTGAGATTTGGGTGGGAGGGGCACTTTCTAGCCAGCAAGGACCCAGAGCTGGGCTGGGGGCCATGCTGCTTCTGCAAAGCAGCCTGGCCCTGCCCCCTCACACCCAAAAAGGGGATGGCTACCGGGGGCCCTGGCCTATAACAGTGTCAATGGCCCTTCTTAGCCAGCAGGGACTTAGCTGCCAGGCTGGGCACATTCCTTCACACTTCCTGGGTTGTGGGCTGGTTGTGGAATTTATTTATTTACTTTGAAATCTTGTCCATCTGCCACTCACCAACAGCTCTCACCACATCCATCTTCTGCCTCACAGCATCAGTTGCCCTCCCTTTCCCCCCACTGGCTCCATCACCCCTTCTTGGTTTCTCTCACCCCTCTACAGTTCCTCATCACCTCTATCTCATCCTCTTCCTCGCTCCACCTCAATCTTCTCCCTCTTCTCACCTGCTCACATCTAGATCCCCAAACCATACTCTCCTTCTCACCTCTCATGATATTTACCCAGCCTCAGCCGTCCCTTCATTCCCCATCTCCTGCACCCATCCCAGCCCCCACTTCTGCCCCTCTTGTGCCTCCATTCCTAACCTCATGCCCTCCCATTCCTGCCCCTTCTCTTGCTGTCTCTGGACCACCCACTTCATCTCATATTTAAAAAAAAAATTACATCAATCCAGAACTTCTTCCTATCTTGCTTCTTTCAGCTCCTGTCTCTCACAGAGACCTGGATCCCTTTGTTCAACATTGCCTCTGTAGCTGCCCTCCCTTACAGAGGCCTTTCCTTCTCTCACACTCCCCACCATGGATCAGACCATGAGGTGAGGGTGGGGGTCACAAAAGCAGAAGTTTCTTGTCTGCTCTCCTCCTCTAACCCCTCTATGTGCCTCTCCATTTCCTGCTCTCCCTCCTACCCACTCTCATCCCCTCCCCTACTCTTCTCCTTAGCCTCATTCTCCTGCGGATCTTTCCCCCTCACAAAACGAGCACGTTCCAGTCTCTCCCATCTTTTAAAAAAAACATGTTTGATCCCACTTCCCCCCCCACTCTTCTTTTCATCTCTAAGCTCTTTGAACACACTTCAGAATCACTATCTGGAGTGCCTCTCCTCCAATTCCATTCTAGACCCTCTCCAATCTGGCTTCCACCACTTGCACTCAAATGAAACTGCTCTCACCAGAGTCTCTAATGACCTCTTCCTAGACAGAGCTCAGAACCAGTACTCCATCCTCATCCTCCTTGACCTGTCAGCTGCATTCAACACAGTCAACCATGCTTTTGAAATCTTTTCCTCCCTGGGCTTCCACAGCACTGTACTCTCCTGGATCTCCTTTTACCTCTCTCATCTCTCCTTCATTGTGTTCTTCAGGGGATCCTCCTCATCCCTCCTCCAGCTTTTTGTGGGGTCTCCACTGGGATCTTTCCTGGGTCCCCTTCTTTTCTCCCTCTACACCTTATCTCTGGGTAAACTCATCTTCAAACACAAATTCAATGACCAATCACTGTACTGATGACTCACAGATCTACCTCTCTACTCCAGACCTGTCTCCTTCTGTCCAAACTAAAACCTCTGCCTGTCTCTCTGACACCTTCTTCTGGATGTCTGGTCGCCAGCTGAAATTCGACATGACAAACAGAGCATTCAATCTACTACCTTCAATTCCTTTCCCTCCATCTCTTTTCTCAACCATTGTGCACACCACCCCCATCCTGCCTGTCATGCAGGCAAATAACCTGGTTGTCATATTCAACTTGATCCTCTCTCTAGGTCCTCACATCCAGACTATGTCTAAATATTGCAGATTATTTCTGTATAGATATGGCCTTTCCTATCCATCACATAACTAAAACTCACACCCAGTCTCTCATCATCTCAAGTCTTAATTACTGCAACATTTTTCTCTCTGACCTTGACAAATGCAATCTTGTCCCCCCATCCATTCAGAATGCAGTTGCAAATATTTTCCTAACCCACTGCTTTGACCATGTCATACCCCTCTCTTTGCATTCCTCCACTGCCTCCCTTTTCTCTATCAAATCAAACAAGCTTTTTGCCTTCATTGTCAAGGTCCTTCACCATCAATCTGCACCCCACGTATCATCTTTCATTCACTATCGAGATGTTGACTCCCACCTCTGGTGAGACAATGATGCCAGCCTCCCTTCTCCACTTATTACATTTTCAAACAAGAATCTGTGCTTTCTCCTAGGCTGCCCCTCATGCTTGGGAGGTGCTCCCCACGAAACCACTCAAACCTACCTTATTATCCTCTTTCAAATCCTCCTTTACCATGACACCTACAAAAATCCAGACCACTGGTTTGTTGAGCCTACTGCCTATCTTGCTGACCAATATCACTGCATTGTTTCTTTGTACTCCTCCATCTGTT